CCCGCCTGTCCTCAATGCTCCCGCACCTGGACACACTGGGTCTCCACCCCCTGTCTGTGACCTTGAGTGGGTGAGGGGACACTACCTACAGGACACCACACACACACGTCTCAGCGGCCATTGTGTCTTTGCAGGCGTTGATGCACCTGTGGTATACCTGGGGGGAGAGGCCACCAGCTTGGAGGCCCATGGGGCAGACTGCATGCTGGGGAGAGGAGATACCACTCTTCTGCTTGGGGTTACCTTGGGGGTCACCTCATGCGTCCACTCCCTGCAGCAGCTCCACCCCACCCTCAACCCTTCAAGCACAGGGACTCTGAGAAGTGGTGAGCCTGAGGGCCACCTGGACCCATCCTGAGGGAATGAGGGGCTTCCAGGGGCAGCCAGGCCCCAGGGGGCTCTGTCCCCTGCAGAACAGGGGTGCACCAAGGAGTATCCCTAGTCCTTTGCATTGGGGTACATAATAGCAGAACCATCCCCCCGTCCGCTTCATGCACCCCCCAGCACCTGGTGTCTGTACACCATTTAGTGAGCACCTACAGCGCGCAGCCCTCACCTGTGCTGTGATGGCAGCTTGCTGAACTCTGCCTCAGTTTCCCCACACGAGGGATGAGATGACATCAACATTAGATGAGGTTCTTTGTCAGGGTCTTGAGACACTCAGGAAATGGCTGTCAGGGTCTGTGGGAACCTTTGGACTCAGGAGTCTTGGTCCCTTGTGGGCACAGGGCCAGGGCCAGGACAGCCTTTGAAGGAACAAGGGCTCATTCATGAATCCAGTGCTCCAAGTGGGCTGCGAGGCTGGCTCCTGGCTCCTGCTCCAGCCCCTGCCTCACCCTTTACATTCTGGGGTCGTGGAGGGGTGCCGAGACCCCGGGCAGGGACAGTGACCTGCCCAAGGTCCAGCAAAGGGGTGGGGACTCCTGTGGCCATGGAGGACACAGTGGAAGGCCAGAGGAGGGGATCCCCAGGCATCGGTGGCCTTTCCCTACCCCGCAGGGTCCTGGAAAAAGAACAATGAACCAAACCCCCAATCAACAACAGAGCCCCCTCCCCATCCTGCAGGTGCTGGGGAAACGCCCAGGAGGGGCACAACAGCCAGCCTCATCTGTCACCTGCTGCCCAGACAATGGCCTGCCAACCTAATTCTGTGTGGTGGGGCCTGTCTTTCGGGACTCCACGTCCTACAAGCTCCCACCTAGCTTCTGAGCTGGACCTGCTCTGAGGACATGGTTGGGAAGGTGGGGAGCCGGCTTTGGATGGCCAAGAGGTCAGGGTCTGCAGGAAGCAGGTCTGACCCCAGGACCTGGGGCATGGGGCACACCAGGACCAGAGATGGCAAAGGTGCTGGGGTCTCTTGCACAGCTGGGAGCCAGCAGACATGCATTTGAAGATCTCTGGCCCCTGTCCCCCCACCCCTAGGCTCTGGATCTAGGTACACCTCACACAAGCTGATGTGATGGAGCCTCAGGGACTTTGCACTGCCGTGGACCCTGAGCCTTCCTCACCCCACCCGACCCCTGTCGTGAGTTTCTACACAGTGCTTCTCAGCTCCTAGCGGACAGAAGGATTTGTGAAATGTGCTTATTGTCAGCCTCCTCTGCCTGGCCCCAGCCCCATTTTGAATCCCCAGCCCCTGGGTCAGGTGCTTACTGAGAATCGTTCAACTGAATGGATACATGCAGGGCACTCTGGCTGAGTAGGTGCTCAGCAGGTGTGGAACATTCTGCAGCCCCAGCTGACCCCAAGCTCATCCATGATACCTTGGGCAGAGTAGAAGCCATGGGTAGAGACAAGTGCCCAGGACCCCAAGTCCCAGCATCCTTTGTCACCAGAGGGTTGGGGGAGGTGCTGTCCCTCTTCCGGGCCTGGTGGGTTCCCTGGAGGCTGGGCCTGCCTCCTCCCTGAGCTCTGGCGACCTGCCCAGTCTGACATCTTCCTAGGGTGAACATAAAAGGTCCCCCTTCAGCTGTAACACACATCTGCCCCTGGGGCGGGATGCAGCCTGGCACTACCAACTCTGCTGTCCGCTCGCTTGCGGGGAGGTGGCCGCCAGGGCAGCATGGAGTCTCAGGAGTCCCCAGAGTTAGGGCAGCCCCAGCAGGGGTGAGCCATGGGGCTCCGCCCATCCTGTGTCAGATGACACACAGCAGGGACCAGCCTTGTCACTACTGAGCACCTGCGGTGTGCGAGGACACTCACATCTCCGCCCTGCTGGCCCTGTTGTCCCAGTGTTCAGAGGGCATCCGACAAGGCCTGCATCGTTTCCCATTCGATGCCAGGCAGGTGGGTCCAGGGGCTCAGGAGGGCCTGAGGAGGACCGAGGGGGTGGCAGAGGGTCCTGGAGGCAGTTCAAGAGACTTCCAGGAGGGCCCAAGAGACCCCAAGAGAATCCAAGAGAACACAGAAGTTCCCACGAGGGTCGGGTGGGGGGGCGCAAGTGGGAGGTGTCCATCTCCAGAATCATCCTTCTTTTGCCTCTGCTCCTCCCCTGCCTCCATCCTCCCCCCTCTGGTAGAGCTGGGTGGGGTGGAGGGCATCAATCTGCACCCAGCCCAGTCTGGCTCTGCCCTCAGCTGCCCTCGTGCCAGGAAGGCCCCCTGTCTGCCCAGAGCCCCGTGCCGGAGGCGGGGGCAGCTGGAACTGAGCCAAGCGGGTAGAGAAACATGGGGCCTCCGGCTCTCCCGGAACCTCTAAAGCCCACCAGACTCACAGGAGCACCCACTGCGCTAAAGGGCGCCCAGTGGAGATAGGAGATGCCAGCACCGGGTGCCCTTTCCTATTGTCCCCTTGTTGCGGGGATCTGACTCAGTTTTCTCACATGCACACTGGAGTGAGGGACTGAGTCCTGCAGCCCCTTACACACATTCCACGGTCTTTGTGTGGGGCGGGGCAGTGACGAAGTCAGGGCTCTGGCTTGCGCACCTGAGACAGGAAGGAGGCCTCCCTGAGCCCTCTGAACGCAGCTGAGCTCCAGGCATTGCTCACAGAGGCCCCTGCCCGAAGGCTCGGCTCCGTGACCTTGGGCGCGTCCTTCCCAACCCCTGAGCCTCAGTTTCCCTCCGGGACGAGGCCTGCGGGAGCATGCAAGGCCTCGGGCCAGCTCGACCTTGAGCCTCCCCGTGAGACTCAGTTTCCCCAGTGCAACCAGCGCGG